AAGCCAAGCTGCGGGTATAGGAGCAGTTGCTCTGCGCGGCTTTACAGTTTTTCGAGATGTGATTTCGCTAGCTGCGGCTTCACGAGCTGCGGCATCATGAGCTGCGATTTCACGAGCAGTTGCTCTGCGCCTCTTTACAGATTTTCGAAAGGTGATTTCACGATCTGCGGCTTCACGAGCTGCGGCTTCACGAGCTGCAGCTTCACGAGCTGCGATTTCATGAGCAGTTGCTCTGCGCCTTTTTACAGATTTTTGAAAGGTGATTTCATGAGCCGCGGCTTCACGAGCTGCGAATTCATAAGGTGCAGCTTCACGAGCTGCGGCTTCTCGAGCTGCAGCTTCACCAGCTGCGAATTCACGAGCTGCGAATTCATAAAATGCGGCTTGACGAGCTGCGGCTTCACGAGCTGCGGCTTCACGAGCTGCGGCTTTACGAGCTGCGGCTTCACGATATGCGGCTTCACGATATGCGGCTTCACGATATGCGGCTTCACGATATGCGGCTTCACGAGCTGCGGCCGTCACGAGCTGCGGCCTCACGAGCTGCGGCCTCACGAGCTGCGGCCTCACGAGCTGCGGCCTCACGAGCTGCGGCCTCACGAGCTGCGGCCTCACGAGCTGCGGCCTCACGAGCTGCGGCCTCACGAGCTGCGGCCTCACGAGCTGCGGCCTCACGAGCTGCGGCCTCACGAGCTGCGGCCTCACGAGCTGCGGCCTCACGAGCTGTGGCCTCACGAGCTGCGGCCTCACGAGCTGCGGCCTCACGAGCTGCGGCCTCACGATGGCTGCGGCCTCACGAGCTGCGGCCTCACGAGCTGAGCCTCACGAGCTGCGGCTCACGAGCTGCGGCCTCACGAGCTGCGGCGTCACGAGCTGCGGCGTCACGAGCTGCGGCCTCTCGAGCTGCGGCCTCACGAGCTGCGGCCTCTCGAGCTGCGGCCTCGCGAGCTGCGGCCTCGCGAGCTGCGGCCTCTCGAGCTGCGGCCTCACGAGCTGCGGCCTCACGAGCTGCGGCCTCACGAGCTGCGGCCCATGGCTCCGAGCTGCGGCCTCACGAGCTGCGGCCTCACGAGCTGCGGCCTCATCGAGCTGCGGCCTCACGAGCTGCGGCCTCATCAGCTGCGGCCTCACGAGCTGCGGCCTCTCGAGCTGCGGCCTCACGAGCTGCGGCCTCACGAGCTGCGGCCTCACGAGCTGCGGCCTCACGAGCTGCGGCCTCACGAGCTGCGGCCTCACGAGCTGCGGCCTCTCGAGCTGCGGCCTCGCGAGCTGCGGCCTCTCGAGCTGCGGCCTCGCGAGCTGCGGCCTCGCGAGCTGCGGCCTCGCGAGCTGCGGCCTCACGAGCTGCGGCCTCACGAGCTGCGGCCTCACGAGCTGCGGCCTCACGAGCTGCGGCCTCACGAGCTGCGGCCTCACGAGCTGCGGCCTCACGAGCTGCGGCCTCTCGAGCTGCGGCCTCACGAGCTGCTTCTCACGAGCTTCGGCTACGAGCTGCGGCTTCACGAGCTGCGGCTCAACGAGCTGCGCCTCACGAGCTGCGGCCTCACGAGCTTCGGCCTCTCGAGCTGCGGCTTCACGAGCTGCGGCTTCACGAGCTGCGGCTTCACGAGCTGCTGCTTCACGAACTGCGGCTTCACGAGCTGGGGCTTCACGAGCTTCGGCTTCTCGAGCTGTGGCTTCAAGATCTGGCGGCTCATGAGCTGCAGCTTTACGAGCAGCGCTTCTTGAGCTGCGTCTTTCTAGCATGCGGCTTTCGACATGGCTTTCCCGATCTGCGTGCTTCACGAGCTGCGGCTTTACGAGCAGCGGCTTTATGAGCTGTGGCTTTATTATGTTCTCTGGCCTCGGCCTCTCTTGCCTCTGCCTCCCGGGCCTCGGCCTCCCTGGCCATGGCTTCTCTGCCTTGCCTCTAGCCTTTGGCCTCCTCTAGCCTTGGGCCTCCCGTCTGTCCATGGTGCCAGTGATTTCCATGGAATGATCTTCACGTGGGCGGCTGCTCTATGACTGCTTCCGAGCCGCAACTTCGTAACAACTGCCCTCGCTAATGGTGGCGTCTCGCGCACATCTTTACGCGCGCAGCTTCAAGAGCCTTGGTTCGCCCAACGAGCGAGTTTGTTCATCTGTTCCCTGGTCATCTGGCTGCCTGTGGACATCGGAATGGCAGTATACGTCTAGCGAAGATTGATCAGCAGGAGTGGTGTCTAATTGCCTGACGTGCACTTGGCATTTTTCCGAAAACACTATATGATGATTGGTGTTCTAAACGCCTGACAGTGCACCCAAGAGCGTTGAATAGGAAGTGGTAGCAAAGGTATTTTAAATGGCTGCTTCCCACAGGACATGAGGCCATTTTTTGTAAGTAAACATGAGAATATGGCCAGCCCGAATACTTCTAGGTAAATATACGAAGCTGGCCATTTGTCTGCTCACGTTCGCAGTAGTTTATCCATTATGTAGTACTAGACTCAATAATGTTATCAGTATTACAAACGACAACGAACAAGTTAGATTTATAATGATTATAGGTTGAATTTATACTAATATCCAGTGTGAATAATTATAGTGACATTATAATTGTAACTGAATTAGGTACGAAGTTCTATGTGAATATCCTTGTGAATAATTTAGTGACATAGTAATGTTGTGAATCATTTATACTAGGGGGCAGTGAGAGTGCGTAGTAGTAGTAGTAGTGGTTAGTACTTGAGTGTAGGTAGTAGTATGTTACAGTAGTGTCATGTGAGAAGCAATCGTAAAGTAGGAGCCTTGTCATTATTAGTAGGTATTCCATTTTTTCTTTATGCATTATTTTCATTTTGTTATAATTATTAATTATTTTATAATTATGTAAGTGTGTTTGTGGTGATGGTTGTGATGATGATTGTGTGATGGATGTAGTGATGGTTGTGGTGATGGCTGTAGTGATGGTTTGGTGATGGATGTGGGGATGGTTGTGGTGATGGGCTGTAGTGATGGTTGTGGTGATGGCTGTAGTGATGGTTGTGGTGATGGAGTGTGTGGTGATGGCTGTAGTGATGGTTGTGGTGATGGTTGTAGTGATGGTTGTGGTGATGGTGTGGTTTATGGTTGTGGTGATGGCTGTAGTGATGGTTGTGGTGATGGTGTAGTGATGGTTGTGGTGAGGATGGTGGTGATGGTTGTGGTGATGGCTGTAGTGATGGTTGTGGTGATGGCTGTAGTGATGGTTGTGGTGATGGATGTAGTGATGGTTGTGGTGATGGCTGTAGTGATGGTTGTGGTGTGGCTGTAGGATGGTTGTGGTGATGGCTGTAGTGATGGTTGTGGTGATGGATGTAGTGATGGTTGTGGTGATGGATGTGGTGATGGTGTGTGATGATGATTTGTAGTGATGGATGTAGTGATGGTTGTGGTGATGGATGTGTGATGGTTGTGGTGATGGCTGTAGTGATGGTTGTGGTGATGGTTGTAGTGATGGTTGTGGTGATGGATGTAGTGATGGTTGTGGTGATGGCTGTAGTGATGGTTGTGGTGATTGGATGTAGTGATGGTTGTGGTGATGGATGTGGTGATGGTTTGTGATGGATGATTGTGAGTGATGGATGTAGTGATGGTTGTGGTGATGGATGTTGTGATGGTTGTGGTGATGGTGTAGTGATGGTTGTGGTGATGGTTGTAGTGATGGTTGTGGTGATGGATGTAGTGATGGTTGTGGTGATGGATGTAGTGATGGTTGTGGTGATGGATGTAGTGATGGTTGTGTGATGGTTGTGGTGATGGATGTGGTGATGGTTGTGGTGATGGCTGTAGTGATGGTTGTGGTGATTGGTTGTGTGTGATGGTATGGGTGATGGCTGTAGTGATGGTTGTGGTGATGGCTGTAGTGATGGTTGTGGTGATGGCTGTGTGATGGTTGTGGTGATGGCTGTAGTGATGGTTGTGGTGATGGATGTAGTGATGGTTGTTGGTGATTGTAGTGATGGTTGTAGTGATGGTGTGTGATGATGATGGTAGTGATGGATGTAGTGATGGTTGTGGTGATGGCTGTAGTGATTGTTGTGGTGATGGTGTGGTGATGGTTGTGGTGATGGCTGTAGTGATTGGTTAGTGGTGATGGCTGTAGTGATGGTTGTGGGATGGTGTAGTGATGGTTGTGGTGATGGTGTGGTTGAATGGTTGTGGTGATGGCTGTATGGTGGAGTGTGTGATGGTTGTGGTGATGGCTGTAGTGATGGTTGTGGTGATGGATGTGTGTGGATTGCAGTGATGGATGTAGTGATGGTTGTGGTGATGGCTGTAGTGATGTTGTGGTGATTGTATGATGGTGTATGGTTAGTGATGGTTGGTGATGGATTGTAGTGATGGTGTATGATGATGTGGTGAGTGTAGATGTTGTAGTGATGGTTGTGTGATTTGTAGTGATGGATGTGGTGATGGTTTGGTGATGGCTGTAGTGAGTTGAGGATGGTTGTAGTGATGGCTTGTGTGATATGTAGTGATGGTGTGAGTGATGGATGTAGTGATGTTGTGGTGATGGTGTAGTGATGGTTGTAGTGATGGTGGTGGTGTGTGATGGTTAGTGATGTTGTGATGGTGTAGTGATGGTTGTGGTGATTGGTTGTGGTGATGGATGGTTGATGGTTGTGGTGATGTTTGTATGGTAGTGTAGATTGTATGGTTGGTATTGTGGTGATGGTTGTGGTGATGATTTGGTGATGTGTAGTGATGGTTGTGGTAGTTTGTAGTGATGTTGTGTGATGGTGTAGTGATGGTTCTGGTGATGGATGTAGTGATGTTGTAGTGATATATTAATATCACTTCGAATTCCTAGTGTGGTTAGTACCGAATTTGCAAAATACACTTTCCTAGAATGGCAAAGACTTGGCAGGTAGATGCCATGCCCTGTGAAAAGGGGGTGCACGAGTATACTGAGAGACAACACATAAGTGTCTGGGGCCCAAGAGTGTTCAAACTGTTCCCGCTACATAAGGGTGATTTACCATTATGACTTGGCTGTCTTCATGTTGGCACTGACGGCGCCTAAGTCAGTACTGACCAACGTGCTGGGTGTTCATACGTCAGTTGGTGTGCAGCCAGCAGTAAATACCTGGGTTTATATTTTTAGGAGGTCGCCTGATCCGACCATGAGGCCTGGTCTCAGACGAGCCGGGGGGCGTTTTCAATTATAAAATTAATCCAGGAAAGATTATTCATGGTTTCAGATCACCATGATTGAATCAGACTTTAAAACCTAAAATAGAGGTCAAAGTATTGGGACAGTACTTTGACCTATCATTTTCAGGCTACTTCCATTCTGAACCATCAAATCACTCTCTTTTGGTATATCTTATATTCTGTCTAATGATACCAAGTAAACGCAATAAAACCATCCAACAAACACGCATAAGTTTTGTCTATTTTTAGAGCTTCACATGGTTGGAGTTTTATTTTTCCATCATGCACTGCGTATGGGCAGTAATTTTTTATGGTGCATTCTTACCATCATAGACCTTGTGGTATCATTGTGCGGCTCGCAGCTGCCAATAACTTCATATGGTTCTGCTAATATTACCATGTATAATTTTTCTATTTATATTTTCACTAGCAGCTCAGGTACTACTTAATTTAGATGTGTTACGCTACTTGCAGTATGCTGCGGCTCATTGCATCAATGTGTTTTAACGAAGTGGATCTCTTGCAAAAATAGTTGAATAACTGACTAGACCATTTGTTCTGTTATCTATGCCAAAATTGTTGATGCTCAAGTGCTTTTTATATTTGAGTGAACTGAGCTCATGATGTAGAACTAATCAAGGACCCCTTGCTTCATTGATGTAGGTCATGGTTGGCAGTGAAGGGTTAAGAAATTAGTAATGCTTTTATTTCTTAATGACTTGAGTGGTTGCTGAAGATGTGACACTATAGATAACCAAAGCTTTGGAGGAGTTGTTCTCGAGGTTCCAAATGGCCCCTTTTATTGGGAAAGAGTATATCATACATTCTGCCTGCAGAGTCGGCTAAGCAGTTTCCAAGTCTTTTTAACCAGCTTGACCAGCACATCACTGTTGCTGAAAGGAACCTTGGCATTGAAAGCTATGGCATCTCCATGACAACACTTGAAGAGGTACTCTAATATGCAGTATAAATTAAATTGAATTTTTATTTCTTTACATAATGTACAGTGTGCAATTTACATGTTATAAAATATTGTTAAGTACAAAGAAAGCCACTAACATGCCTGAGCATTTTGGGCAGACTTATACAGCCTCTCCTCACTTAACGATGTACACGTTTATACACAAATAACCCGCACATAGAAGAGAGGAGCTTACGACGACGTTTCGCTCCAAGTCGTACCGAAACATTGTTGTAAGCTCCTCTCTTCTGTGTGCGGGTTATTTGTGTTTCGTTCCAGTCACAGTATTGTGCATTTTTTTGTTATTTACACGTTTATTGACGACTTGGACTTAGGACGGGCTCTCTGACCAGTATGCATGCCTAAATAATGTATATTAGAGCTGATTTCCTCTATTCTGTTTATAAAAATATACAGTACACTACTGTATAAACATTTAAAAATATACCGGTAATGTTATAAATGGTGCAAAGGCAACATTAAAACAATATCAAAGATGGTTGACACAAACCCACTACCATTATAGTATGCTCCTCACTTAATGACAAATTCATATACCACCGTGGTCTTAGGAATGGAACTGCATTGTTAACTGAGGAGAGGCTGTACTAATGTTTGCACACTACTTAAAACTAGACATAGCATATAACATAATGCGAACACATTTTAACTGCAGTTTTGAAGATGCTGGCCGACACAGTAGCTCTGGAAATTTCTGGCAGACAGTTCCAGATTTTGGGCCCTTTTATTTACATTGAATATCTACAAAGATTTAGCCAGAAATGGGGTATGTCATAGAGATTTTTGTACCCAGTATTATGTCTATGGATTCTATAGCAACTATCAAGAAATTGCTTCAGATCAGGATTAATTTTAAGACTTAATACTCTGTAAATGTATGATGCACAGTAGTAAGAGTGAATGTTTTGTATAATGAATAGATTTAGGTCTTTGAAGTGAGGAAGGGGGTGTTTAGCAGTGGTCTGTGTTATCATTGATACTGCAGCTTTTTGTCGAGTTATTATTGGCTTAAGGTGATATGCTGTTATAGATCCCCAGGTGCATAGTTGAGGTAGGAATAGATCAGTGAATAGTATAATGCAAGTAGTACTGATTGTGATACATAATCTTTGAGAGGATGCCAACTGTTTTGGACACTTTTTTTTTTTTTATTGGTTGGATATGGGTGTTGAACTTTAAGTTACTGTCAGTGTGCAGACCCAGAAATTTTCCCTCATAATATTTAGCAATAAGAGTATTGGTAATCATAATGTTTGACTGGACATTACTTACTCTGCTAAACATAATGTAGAAGGTTTTGTCTCTGTTAAGTGTAAGTGTCGTAGGTAGTAGGTTGGTAGACAGCAACTGCCCAGGGAGGTACTACCGTCCTGCCAAGTGAGTGTAAAACGAAAGCCTGTAATTGTTTTACATGATGGTAGGATTGCTGGTGTCCTTTTTTCTGTCTCATAAACATGCAAGATTTCAGGTACGTCTTGCTACTTCTACTTACACTTAGGTCACACTACACATACATGTACAAGTATATATATACACACCCCTCTGGGTTTTCTGCTATTTTCTTTCTAGTTCTTGTCCTTGTTTATTTCCTCTTATCTCCATGGGGAAGTGGAACAGAATTCTTCCTCCGTAAGCCATGCGTGTTGTAAGAGGCGACTAAAATGCCAGGAGCAAGGGGCTAGTAACTCCTTCTCTTGTATAAATTACTAAATTTAAAAAAGAGAAACTTTTGTTTTTCTTTTTGGGCCACCCTGCCTTGGTGGGATACGGCCGGTTTGTTGAAAGAAGAAAAAGAAGAAGTGTAAGTGTATTGGTAATCATCCATGTTGATATTTTTAAGAGCTCTTCGTTAACAATGTGCTTGAGTGATGCTGGATTTGGGTGGGAGATGACAAAAGTTGTGTCGTCAGCAAAGAGAATAGGTGGAATAGGAAAGCATGGAAATGCTACTAAAATTTTTTCATCTAAATAGAGTCCATCGTCAGTGCCAGAAGTAATTTGTGGAAAACCCCCTCAGAGCGAGCAGAAGTCTAATAACCCCATTCACTTGTTTTTGCTAATTTTCAGGGTGTTGACAGCCAGCTTGTCACTGACTGCTAGTCAAGTCAAAGGGTCTCTACAAACTCAGGATTAGGTAGCAGTTGTGGCTTTTGCAAACCTTCCCAGTAAATTGGGTTAGAGAATTTTTGTGACTCTTTACTTCATTGGCTAGCACAATGGGTTGGCAATATTAGGACAGCCAGGTCCTGGATTCATATCCTGATCACAGCATAAAAAATTTTGCATTCATTTCCTGCAGATTTTTAGCATATGTTGTGCATAAAAAATAATGTTTATTAATATAGTGCCTGTATGATTTTATGCTAAATATATGTATTACATTTTTTATTTTAAGGTTTTTCTTGTTCTAAGTGAAGAAAATGAAGAGAGTGAAATTCATTCTATGGAAGATATAGGTCATAAAGTATTAAAAGACAAGTCGTCATCTTCTTCTCCTCTTCATACATCATCCTCAGAAGTACAAGAGCAAAATATGAATGGAACACAGCAAACTGGAGATAGGGTTAATATTATGGACACAAATGGATTTGCCATAAATGCAGTGGATGTCAAGTAAGAGTAATATATTTTCTTGTTTTACTACTGTACTATATATATAATAACCTGTGTGTGTATTTAGAAATAATTTTCCTTTAATGTTTTATTGAAAATCACTTCCTCGTAGCTGAATGCTGCGCAGTTGTATTATGTATATATCAGAGAGTGTTCTTATACAGTAAACATGTCATATGAAGTAAGTCAAGATCAGGACTTTGCTGAATATCAAGATGCAACATATTTTGCTGGCATAGGCTTTTTTAACGGTAGCATAGAACTTCTAATGGTACCATGGGAATTTTAATAACACCGTAGATGTTTTAATAACACAGTAGATTTTTTTAGCAGCACTATTAACTTTTACACTATAGTGTAGTAGGTACAGAATTTATTTTATAACTTAATTTATTTAAACTGTGAAGCAATCAGTGTAAAGGACTTGAAACCACACAAAAGCATCTCTCATATATGACAGGGACCAGTTGAGAAGTGACTTCCTCTCTGGACTCCGTGAAATAAAGATTTTTTTTTTTTTTCAACAAGTCGACCGTCTCCCACTGAGGCAGGGTGACCCAAAAAGAAAATACTTTCACAACACTTTCGCGTCACTCATACATAATCACTGTTTTTGCAGAGGCACCCAGATACAACAGCTTAGAAGCATATTTTTTTTTTTTTTTTTTTTTTTTATCACACTGGCCGATTCCCACCAAGGCAGGGTGGCCCGAAAAAAAAAAAACTTTCACCATCATTCACTCCATCACTGTCTTGCCAGAAGGGTGCTTTACACTACAGTTTTTAAACTGCAACATTAACACCCCTCCTTCAGAGTGCAGGCACTGTACTTCCCATCTCCAGTACAGTGCCTGCACTCTGAAGGAGGGGTGTTAATGTTGCAGTGATGGAGTGAATGATGGTGAAAGTTTTTCTTTTTCGGGCCACCCTGCCTTGGTGGGAATCGGCCAGTGTGGTAATAAAAAAAAAAAAAAATATGCATGTATAGAGATATATAACATATCCCTCCAAACTGCCAATATCCCAAACCCCTCCTTTAAAGTGCAGGCATTGTACTTCCCATTTCCAGTACTCAAGTCCAGCTGTATAAAAACTGGTTTCCCTGAATCCCTTCACTAAATATTACCCTGCTCATACTCCAACAGCTCGTCAGGTTCCAAAAACCATTCGTCTCCATTCACTCCTATCTGACACGCTCACACATACTTGCTGGAAGTCCAAGCCCCTCATCCACAAAACCTCCTTTACCCCCTCCCTCCAACCTTTTCGAGGATGACCCCTACCCCACCTTCCTTTCCCAATAGATTTATACTCTCTCCAAGTCATTCTACTTTGTTTCATTCTCTCTAAGTGACCAAACCACCTCAACAGCCCCTCTTCAGCCCTTTGACTAATACTTTTAGTAATGCCACACTATGAATTCTCTGCATCATGTTTAGACCACTCATTGCCCTTAGACATGACATCTCCACTGCCTCCAGCCACTTCCTCACTGCAGCATTTACAACCCATGCTTCACACCCATATAAGAGTGTTGGTACCACTATACTCTCATACATTCCCTTCTTTACCTCCATAGATAACACTCTTTGTCTCCACAGATACCTCAATGCACAACTCACCTTTTTTCCTTCATCAATTCTATGGTTAACCTCATCTTTCATAAATCCATCTGCTGACAAGTCAACTCCCAAATATCTGAAAACGTTCACTTCTTCCATACCCCCTTCCTCCAATGTGATACCCATTTTGTCTTTATCTAAATCATTTGATTCCCTCATCATTTTACTCTTATCTATGTTCACTTCCACTTTTCTACCTTTACACACCCTCCCAAATTCATCCACTAACCTTTGCAACTTTTCTTCAGAATCTCCCAAAAGCACAGTATCCTCAGCAAAAAGTAACTGTGTCAACTCCCATTTTGTATTTGATTACCCATAATTTAGTCTCACCCCTCTCCCCAATACCCTAACATTTACTTCTTTTACAACCCTATCTATAAATATGTTAAACAACCATGGTAACATTGCACATCCCTGTCTAAAACCTACTTTTACTGGGAAGTAATCTCCCTCTCTCCTACACATACTAACCTGAGCCTCACTATCCTTATAAAAACTCTTTACAGCATTTAGTAACTTACTACCTATTCCATACACTTGCAACATCTGCCACATTGCTCCCCTATCCACTCTGTCATATGCCTTTTCTAAATCCATAAATGCAATGAAAATTTCCCTTCCTTTATCTAAATACTGTTCACATACAGTGGACCCCGGTTAACGATATTTTTTCACTCCAGAAGTATGTTCAGGTGCCAGTATTGACCGAATTTGTTCCCATAAGAAATATTGTGAAGTAGATTAGTCCATTTCAGACCCCCAAACATACACGTACAAACGCACTTACATAAATACACTTACATAATTGGTCGCATTCGGAGGTAATCGTTATGCGGGGGTCCACTGTATATGCTTCAATGTAAATACTTGTTCTACACATCCCCTACCCATTCTAAAGCCTCCTTGCTCATCTGCAATCATGCTTTCTGTCTTACCTCTAATTCTTTCAGTAATAACCCTACCATACATTTTACCTAGTATACTCAGTAAACTTATTCTTCTTTCAATGACCAGCCGTATCCCACTGAGGTGGGGTGGCCCAAAAGGAAAAACGAAAGTTTCTCCTTTCAAATTTAGTGTAATACATACAGGAGAAGAGGTTACTAGCCCCGTGCTCCCGGCATTTTAGTCGCCTCTTACAACACACACGGCTTACGAAGGAAGAATTCTGTTCCACTTCCCCATGGAGACTCAGTAAACTTATTCCCCTATAATTTTTACAATCTCTTTTGTCCCCCTTTCCTTTATATAAAGGAATTATACATGCTCTCTGCCAATACCTAGGTACCTTTCCCTCTTTCATACATTTATTAAACAAAATCACGTACAGTGGAACCTTGATTTACGAGTGTCCCAACGTACAAGTTTTTTGAGATACGAGCTATCACTTGGTCAATTTTTTTACTGTGAGTTACGAGCCATCATCCGAGTTATGAGCCAGCTCCCCCCTGCTTCCCCCCTCAACCGAAAACCTGCTCACCTTGCTTGTTTATGTGATCTCATGCTTTAATTCCATGGAAATCATCCTCTTCTTCTTTTCAGTACTGTCCTTTGCACTTACTTTCTTAGGATCCATGCTTAGAAAATCGAAATTTTGCCAAATGACTGTAAAAAATGTAAGGAAACCATGAGAGAAATACTCCCACACCAAAGTAAGCAGAGCACTGAGTTGGTGATGTTCTGAAGCTCTCATAATTATTATTATTATTATTATTATTATTATTATTATTATTATTATTACATTTTTTTTTTCAACAAGTTGGGTATCTCCCACCGAGGCAGGACCACCCAAGAAGAAAGAAAATCCCCAAAAAGAAAATATAAAAATAACCACTTACATGCATAGTTCCTTTGTATAAAGGCAAAGGGGACAAAAGAGAGTGCAAAAATTATAGGGGGATAAGTCTGTTAATGTTGCAGTTTAAAAACTGTAGTGTAAAGCACCCTTCTGGCAAGACAGTGATGGAGTGAATGATGGTGAAAGTTTTTCTTTTTCGGGCCACCCTGCCTTGGTGGGAATCGGCCAGTGTGATAATAATAAAAAAAAAAAAAAAAAAAAAAAAAAAAAAAAAAAAAAAGTCTGCTGAGTATACCTGGTAAAGTGTATGGTAGAGTTATTATTGAAAGAATTAAGAGTAAGACGGAGAATAGGATAGCAGATGAACAAGGAGGCTTTAGGAAAGGTAGGGGGTGTGTGGACCAGGTGTTTACAGTGAAACACATAAGTGAACAGTATTTAGATAAGGCTAAAGAGGTCTTTGTGGCATTTATGGATTTGAAAAAGGCGTATGACAGGGTGGATAGGGGGGCAATGTGGCAGATATTGCAAGTGTATGGTGTAGGAGGTAGGTTACTGAAAGCAGTGAAGAGTTTTTACGAGGATAGTGAGGCTCAAGTTAGAGTATGTAGGAAAGAGGGAAATTATTTCCCAGTAAAAGTAGGCCTTAGACAAGGATGTGTGATGTCACCGTGGTTGTTTAATATATTTATAGATGGGGTTGTAAGAGAAGTAAATGCGAGGGTCTTGACAAGAGGCGTGGAGTTAAAAGATAAAGAATCACACACAAAGTGGGAGTTGTCACAGCTGCTCTTTGCTGATGACACTGTGCTCTTGGGAGATTCTGAAGAGAAGTTGCAGAGATTGGTAGATGAATTTGGTAGGGTGTGCAGAAGAAGAAAATTAAAGGTGAATACAGGAAAGAGTAAGGTTATGAGGATAACAAAAAGATTAGGTGATGAAAGATTGAATATCAGATTGGAGGGAGAATGTATGGAGGAGATGAATGTATTCAGATATTTGGGAGTGGACGTGTCAGCGGATGGGTCTATGAAGGATGAGGTGAATCATAGAATTGATGAGGGAAAAAGAGTGAGTGGTGCACTTAGGAGTCTGTGGAGACAAAGAACTTTGTCCTTGGAGGCAAAGAGGGGAATGTATGAGAGTATAGTTTTACCAACGCTCTTATATGGGTGTGAAGCATGGGTGATGAATGTTGCAGCGAGGAGAAGGCTGGAGGCAGTGGAGATGTCATGTCTGAGGGCAATGTGTGGTGTGAATATAATGCAGAGAATTCGTAGTTTGGAAGTTAGGAGGAGGTGCGGGATTACCAAAACTGTTGTCCAGAGGGCTGAGGAAGGGTTGTTGAGGTGGTTCAGACATGTAGAGAGAATGGAGCGAAACAGAATGACTTCAAGAGTGTATCAGTCTGTAGTGGAAGGAAGGCGGGGTAGGGGTCGGCCTAGGAAAGGTTGGAGAGAGGGGGTAAAGGAGGTTTTGTGTGCGAGGGGCTTGGACTTCCAGCAGGTATGCGTGAGCGTGTTTGATAGGAGTGAATGGAGACAAATGGTTTTTAATACTTGACGTGCTGTTGGAGT